TGAGCTTGTATTTCATGTCTTTAGAGTAGTTTTTTGTCTTGTCATGGTAATTTAGCAGTTTTTGCATGAATTTGTCGTCATTTTACAGGTTTTTGTGGTTGTATTGTTTCTCTTTGTGGTCATTTTGTATGTCTTTGTAGTGGTTTTTTGTGTCCTAATAATAATAATTTTTGCATAAATCTGTGGTTTTTTCGTGTCTCTTCGTGTCTCCTTTTGGCCATTTTAAGCCTCTTTGTGGTCCTTTTGTTTACTTTCACTTTAGATGATGCAACACTGCAGAAATGAAAATGAAACTGAAGAAAACGTCATCTGAACACCGTCATCAGTAACACAGAGGTTCATCAATGATCAGGAAGAGAGCGGTAAAGGACTTACATTTGTTGAGGCCGAGTCGGGTCATAGTTCTAGATTTTGTTCTGTTCAAACAAACAAACAAACAAACAACGATAATAAATTAGAACAAAGACCAACAGCAGAGCACCACTTTGACTGAGCTTCACTGTGTTTTAGCTCAGATCAGCTGCATCTTTACAGGAAAACAACTAAATCAGATCGTTTCATCAGCAGTTATTGAGCTGATCATCACTGAGATTCTTCTGTTTCCGGCCTGGAAATAGAAACCTGGACATGAAGTCAGTGTGGAGGCATCGTTCACAGGATTAACGGCGGAAACTAAAGGCGGTTTCTTAATAGAAATAATATACGCATCGTGAAAATGATTCAAATAAATATCTAAAACAACATTAACATTCTATAAATCATGTTTAACAGTCTCATTGTTGTCTGATTAACAGGTTAAAACACAAAGATATTCAGTTTACAGTCAGATAAGACAAAATAAATCTGCAGATTAATCAGAACTGACTGATTATTTCAGCTTCTGTAAAAGCAGAGAAACGCTGCATTCAGAGTCTCCTGTAAAATACTGTAAATATGAAGATAAATCATAGTTTTTAAATAGTTTGTTTTTGCCTGATTAACAGTGTAAACGTGAAGATATTCAGTTTACAGTCATGGAAAAAAGAGAAAAGCAGCAACTCGCTCAAAGAACGACAAAGACAAATGAATAAAAAATGATTATTTCAGCTCCGATAAAAGCATCAAGAGTCTCTTATAAAACAGTGAAAAATAGAAAGACTCACACATTTAAACAGTTGATTAACAGTAAAACACAAAGATGTTCAGTTAACTGTTACGTCATAAGACAGAAAAGCAGCAAACACACGAGGAAATGAAACCAACCCTGAAGTGATTCATCATTACCGGCTCGTTATTTCAGCTCCTGAAGCATCAGAAAAGCTCAGATTTAAATATCAGAAAGTAAAAATTCACAGCTTTCTGGAGCTAAAAGAGAAAATATTCAGTCTCCTGTCAAAGAGAAGCAGACAAACGCTGCTTCAGAGTCGCTGATAAAATACTGGAAAATAAATAATCCTCACATTTAAAGCTTTTGTTTTGTCTTATAAATGGACCAAAACACGAGGATGTTCAGTTCATAGTTATGTGAGACACAGACAAGCAGAAAATACCTGAAAACAGCTCAGAAAACATCGATAAAATACAATTAACTGACAGAAAAAACACAGAAATGAGGACATAAAATCCACAGCGTTCTGTAGCTGAACGTGAAAATATTCTGTTTTCTTCAAAGAAAAGCAGAAAATGTTGGATTTGTTTCCTGGAAATGAACTGAAGTAATTAATAATGCAGCTTTTTGTTTTGTTTTTTTACCTTTAAACAGAGTACAGACTCCTGTGGACTCCCTGAGCGCGTGGATCCTGGAACACACCTGTGCAGGTACAACAGGTTCAATCACACTGACAGCGAAGAGACCAGCTGCGCCGCTGAACATGTCTCTGATGTCTCTGGTGATGATGAGGCCCGGAGACGTTCTGGTCCAACAGGTCCGTCCGGTTCCGCTTCCTGCAGCCGGAGAACTGGGTTCCAGCCAATCAGCAGCCGGCAGCAGGTCAGAGTCCGTCTGATAACAGCACAAAGAGAAGTATTTGCTCTTACAACAAACTTATATTGTAAATACTTTTGATTTATTGAGTCACATCAGTAACCACAGGCTGGTAGCACAAAGCCGCAGAGGTGAGGGAGGACGAGACTGTAAAAAATACTGTCTGGGCTCAACGAGACAGAATTAACAGTCTGACAACCTCTAACATCAGAATCAGAGCTTTTCCTTCTCCAGTTCTAGATATTTATCATTTGGCAGCATGAACACGAGTTTTACAGTCGATAACTCATAAACAAGAAGCTGGTCCAACTTTTAGTTCCACATTATT